TGTAACGCGGCGCACAGGTGCCCTATTGGTGCTTTTCTTCTCAACCTTTTCTCTGGGCTTGTAATGTTAGGCAAGAAGTCAGTGAAGCAAGGGATGTAAGCATCACATGCCCATCTGCGGCTATTGGGCAGATGAAAAGTGGCACAGATCTATTAAGGAGTAAGTTCGATCTGTTTGTGTCAAATATTGTAGATTTAATGCATTTAACATGCCAGATCATTGCCTCTCAGGTTTATTTGTGTCAATGTTTAATATGTGTTGCAGCACCAAGAAGACTGTACAACCAAAAGACATGCTTACATGCTAACAGCATAGGAATTTAAAAAGCTTTAAACTACAATCAAAATAAAACTATTCTAAGCAAAATGAAACTCTTAAACCTAATTGTGCTATTTTTGCTCAGGTTTTTATTAGTTCATCACTGGCCACAGAAATGGCAACTGTTGCCTGTATGTGGCCGTGTGCACCGTGTCTTTTAATGTACTGTGCAGTGTGCAACAGCAGTGTCAAATACACATTAGCCTCCTGAACTCATAACCATATGCCTACAAAGAGAGAGAGCATGACGTGATGATTTTACTGCCCAGAGAAAAAAACACTGTCGACTAGCAACGCAGCTAATATTTACCCCACATGTCTGTCTGGCCAACCACCTCTCAGTGTATGTGTGTGTGTGTGTTTAACCTAACTGTTCCATCTAACCACTGAATATAAACATGCTGTCAAAATATGGTCAGCACAATTAGAGCAAAGACAGATAGAGACACAGACAGTGAAAGAGAGAGAGAGAGAGAGACACACAGAGAGAGATAAATAAGAGGTATTTACCCGCCCTCTGCTCTGCAGGAATGTAATCTTGGCTCAGAACAGTGTGGTAACACAAAGAAACCCGCTAGAACAGCACTACTAATACAGAAACAACACACACACACACACACACACGTGCACGCACTCACACTTGGTCTCTTTTCTGAGAACTCAGACATGATGACAGTGGGTGTGTCAGGCTGGCAGGTAGACAAAGTACAAGGTCTATGCTGTGTTCAAGTGTGTGTGTGTGTGTGTGTGTGTGTGTGTGTGTGTGTGTGTGTGTGTGTGTGTGTCTGTGAGTGTGTATTCAAACTGTTCTCCATGGTAAACGGTTACCACTCCTTTTTTATGACATGGGCAGCAGTGTTAGGGGGTAAACAAGGACCTGCTGCTGCTCTTGGGTTCACACAAGGTTGCAGCCAGTCTTGCTTTTGTCACACCACATAAGTTTATGTATGTGAGTATATGTATGTGTGTGTGTGTGTTTGTGTTTGGGGTGGGGGGGGGATCTACCAGGGTGTAATGAGGGTGTAATGTGAACCATCCTGTCCAGGGATGGGTGTGGCCTGAAGTAAATGAGGCCAAAACCAGACTGAGCGGGAAATCAAGTAAAAGGAGAATGAAAAACAAGTAACAGAGGAAAGCCAAATGGGCGAAGGAGAAGTGGACTAGAATAGGCTTGCATCTAATAAAAGTGGGATGGTACAGTACTTGAAATAAACTGGCAGTTTACCTCTGTGTGGGCGGGGTGCAGCTGTAATGTTACAGTTCATTTATTGTAGAGTAACCTATATTTTTTCAGACTAATTCTACTGTAAGCTAATGAGGCATTAGCTCACTTGCTTCTGCAACCTGAGCTGACTATTATACTCCAACCTGATTAGAATGCTTTAGTGAAGCATTAACTACCGAAGGTTCAAATTAGGTTACTTCCTCGACATATCCTGTACGTTTAAAAACTCCCCTCCTTGTATTTTTGTCAGAAGGAGCACATGCTGCATCACACTTGTCCACCTGTCTCATCAAGTTAGTCTATTGCATTTATATTAGAGCAGATCTAAATATTTAGCTGCAAATTTGAATCATTCATACAGATTTAGAATCAGCATATCTTACTTAACCTGTCCTCTCAGTAGTTAATCATTTATAGACAAAGTTACAAAGCTGACTTGAAATCAGGGAGTTCTAGCAGCCATTATCCTTCTCCAAATATTTACCCCTGCTTCGACATAGCTGAGCTGTCTGTGTTGCACCAAGCAGATACACAGGCAACAGAAAGGGCTGCGCTCCGAGGTTAAGGCCAAGTCTAAGGCCAGTGAACACCCACGCATGGATGTATATTATAAGTGCATGAACACACACACACACACACACACACACACACACACACACACACACACACACACACACACACACACACACACACACACACACACACACACACACACACACACACACACACCACAACTTACGTTTTAATTCTAGATGAAAACCTTGGTTCTGACTGATATCCTTGCTTGAGGGTATATTATCCACATTACAGCCATGAACATGTTCCCATGAAAAGTTGCGATTTAACTCTTCTTGCTATTTCTGGTACAAACACATTCCCTACTCTAATTCCATCAGCATAGACTCTACAAGTGTGGTTAAGTGCTGGACACATGTTTTTTTGTATGTGTGAGGGTATGTCTGTATGTGCATTTATATGTATTTTTCTATGTGTGCGTGCACCATGTGAAAAGGAGGCCAGAGAGAGAGAGAGAGAGAGAGAGAGAGAGAGAGAGAGAGAGAGAGAGAGAAAGAGACAGAGAGAGAGAGGGAGGCTGTTGGGGGATATGACTGGGTTTGGGTGTGACCTGCTCAGCTATGCACTGGTGATCATGTGAGACCTGTTCTAATTATACACCTCTCAAGAAGAAGGCCGATCCTCTCTCATGGGCAGAAAGTGTGTGCACATGTGTCCAAGAGGGTGCAGTGTGTGTGTGTGTGTGTGTGTGTGTGTGTGTGTGTGTGTGTAGGGGTTGCAAGACGAGTAATGGGGAGCAATGTGACTTCATGCAACACAACTAAATTGAGAATTTGTCCTATTTGAGGCACTCAACCTTTGTGAAAGTGAAGTAGGACGTGTGATTTTTCAGTGTGTGGGTTTGTGGTTCTATGTTAAAGGAAACCCTTAACACTGTGGTGAATGTTCCTGTGTCTATATGTGCATTTTAGGTCATATCTTCTGGTGTTTACATGCCGCTAACGAATCAACAGCCTTTGTTTCTGATTTCCTCTATCCTCTTTTGCTCTCTCTCTCTCTATTCTGCTGTTTCCACTGTGGGTTTTTTAGAGACCTGCTCTGTTTTTCATTACCAGTGGAAAAAATGGGGCGAAGAGTTAAAAAAAGTATCACCCATCTCCCTTAATGCACAAGTCCTAGTGGAAAATGAGTCCAAACTACTAAAATAGGCCCCTCGGTTCCTTCAAAAGGCTTCCATATATCTGCCAGCTACCCCTTTCCAGCAGCTGACCTTTACTTTAGCGTGAATGACAATTTAAACATATGTATCGAGATCCATGATGTCCAGATAGTCAGGAAAACATTTGTTTTTCATGTTTTTGGTAATTGTTACATTGCTGCTTCTTACAGTTTCTTACAGTTTGGGAGTTATTTTTGTAGTTTTGGCCACCACTTCATCCAATTTATTTCTGAGATGTGGTAACATAATTTCAACAAAGGCTGACAGGGTAACAAATGAGCATTCAGGCAATTAGGTTAGATTACAGGTTGAAAACAAGCCAACAATTTAGCCAGATTATTTACGATTTTATGTGGAGGTATAACTGTAAATCAATAGCAACTAATAGAAATAATGGCCACAATTATAAAAATAGGAATTAAAGGTCTAGGATTTAGTGGCATCTAGCAGTATATAATAGGCTCATTCTAAGGTAACACAACAATTCTTATTTTCAGGGGATTTTAAACTAGTGAAAACATAGTTATGCATATTAATCAGTCATACATGCTCCTAAATGTTACACGCTGGACCTTTAAAATGTAACAAGCAAGAAAAGATTTAATTTATCCTTTCTAAGTTTGACAATCGCACACGCACTCACACACAGACATTTGTGAGGAAACTTGGGAAGAGTTCAGCTTGGGCTTGACAATGTTCCTCTGTCCACATCTGGCTATAAACACTGTTCTGTGAGTCGACTCACACACGCTGTCCTCATCCTAACCCTGCCCCGCTCACACACTGCCAATGACCACGAGTCACTAATGTCTGCAAGGGCATTATACAAACAGAAGTAAAAGACACACATAGCCAAACGTGTCGATGCTGGAAACTTTGGGTTGAGGTCCACCCATCTCTAGAGATCTTGTGCTCCAATAAAAAGATTGTGAAATAAAGAGAGAGAATGAGTGAGAGAAAGAAAGAGAGGTGTTTGTTTTTCTTTTGCTGCCTAAAAATGGAAAATGACTGCATAGCATGCCCCAAATCTGCCCCCGACTTCACTCTAAAACACACACGCAAATAGAGCCCCCTCTAACTGCCCCTAGGCCTCTGCACAGGAAGTGGTTTGACCGAGTGGGATCTACATGATGACACTATCGCCTCGTTCCTCTCAAGCTGTTGAAACGTGTTGTGCTCAGGGCATCCATATGAGTCTGTACATGTGACAGCCTATTCATCTGTGTTTTCCCATTCAAAAGCTGGCACACGATAATGTTTATCAATTCCAGAGGGACTGTGCTGACGTAGTAAATTCATTCAACAATGTTTATGTACAGCGCAAACAGTCGGAAATGAGACCGACTCCTGAATGACTCCTGTTCGACGTAAGGGCAGTAAACACCAGCTAAAACACTGCCTGTCCTAGAAGATTCCACAGAGCAGTGTTACAAATGCCTGACTTCTGCTTCCTGTATCTAAAAAGCTGCAACACCCCTCCTCTCTATGCCCTTGATCACATGTTGCAGTCACCTGACCAGAAATGGGTGGAACCAGGGAGAGAGCACATGTTATGACCAGATGGTGAGCTCTAGCATGATGTAGACTGTAGACAGCTATTTCCACTTAGTAACTACATATTATTCCCTCAAACTGCCTGTCAGACTGAATGTGCCAAGTCTCCTATCTGTCTGCCTGAGATCTGACCTCCAGACTTCCTGTTCACCATCTCTCCTTTCTTACCTTGAGTGAGTCGAAGCAAGCGATGACCCGTCCGTTGTCCACCTGACAGCTCTTGGCCGGATGAGCGAACTTGCACTCCTGGTCAGAGCGTGAGCAAGTGCCCCTCTGAAACTCCCTGCATACCTCAAGTGTCAGCCACTTTGTGTCGCGGATGTGTGCCATGTTCATCGCCATGGCAACACGCTGGCAAAAAAAGGTATTCCGAGCTGAAATCTGTTCAAGCACGAGTAAAGTACCTCTAGTGTTTTATTCCACAACTTTAAGGTCTTTTTTTTTTTTTGGCTTATTTGTTGTTAGAGTCTATGATACTTTAAAACGTTGAAATGAAAATCAAAGTTCCTATTGATTGAGAGGGCTCCTTTTCCAAAGTGAAATGTTGCAGGATGATGTTTCGCTGTGAATGTTATTAGACAATTATCCTGATCAATCAACCACAGAGTTTATATCCAGGAGGCGACTTAGACTAAAAATTAAGCTGTCACTCTTGGCTCCCTTACTGCTGCTTGCTGAATGGTCTCATCTACAACATTCAAAAGCCAAGTGCAGTGAAGCAGGCAACAAAGGTGATAGTCTGGGTGTAGCCTGCTACAGGAAGGTTAAGGACACTGAGGACCAAGTGGAGGCTTAGAGGGTTGAAGGCGAAGGTTAAAGGCAAGGTGGGTGAGATGCTGCGTGGGCCTGATGGTTTGTTGGGCTGCTGTGGTAAGGCTGGTCAGCTGGTGGAGAGCAGTTGGCAGCGGTGGCCGTCTGGTAAAAGAGAGCTTGAGGCTGAGCCCGGCTGCGAGGAGTGGATGGTGATGGTGGTGGGTGGACGAGCAGGTCAGAGCGTAGGCTGCGAGGAGGGTGTGGTCACTGTCTTGTACTCGTGTTACTGTGGCAGCAAGCGAGCGAGGCGGGGGGGCAGGGTGGAGCTTCAGCTGTAGAAGCAGGTCAAAGCTGCAGCAGACATCAGGGAAGGCACTTCCTCTGGGGGAGAGAGAGAGAGAGAGAGAGAGAGAGAGAGAGAGAGAGATAGAAAGGAGGGAAAGACAGAAAGAAAGATTAGTGATGATACACATCCAAAGAAAACTTCCAGGTTTATTTTCTTTTTCATTTCTCTTTCACAGGAGGTTCTGACCTGCAGTATTCTGCTAAGCTATGCAGCTGTGGGAATGAAGAATATGTAAAAATGTCAGAAATGCAGGGGTGTCAGCTAAAACAAATAAAACTTTCACCCGCCCTGCGCTCTAAACACACATGGTGCGCATAGACGCTCTTCAAGCCACGCCACGCCACGCCACACACAAAAACACATACACATAAATGCACAAAGCAGGCATTCACAACTTTCCACCTCTTCTGCTCAAGGCAGGAAAATCTGATCAAATCCTGTATCACTTACTGTCGAGTACAGCAAAGCCGGCCATAGCAAATTGTGTTTAGAGGTGAAGGAAAGGAAGAGAGTGAAAGCAGAGGGGAAGTCGAGGCAGGGCATGAGGGAGAAGAGGTTAGTCATTTCCCTTCTTGCGAAGCGGTGTGAGAGCGGGGACCAATGAGAGCTAGCAGAGTTGCAGCAACATTCTGGGCTGAGCGCCAGGTGAGAGCAGGGGGAGGAGCAAAGAGGAGGCTGACCTGCCTGCTGGTGAGAGAGAGAGAAAGGGAGAGAGAGAGAGAGAGAGAGAGAGAGAGAGAGAGAGAGAGACAGGCTAAACTAATCACTCTGCTCACTATTTCTATGACTACCTGACTTCTCACGAACAGATGATTTCTCTCATACATAAAAGATCCTAGATAATATTCTCCATGAGCTCAAGTATTTCTAAATAAAAAGCACCATTATCATGATCACAGAAATACTGTGGTGATCTCACACAGATGTGAACTCGCGATAACATCATGTTTATTATTTCACTCATAAACCAAATTCCCCATTTATCACATGCAGAAGAGATCATGGGTTACAAAGTGTTGTTTTTTTTTTTTTTTTATCAGAATTTGTTGATGTTGCCAGTTGTTTCTATTTTTGGTGAATCCATTGTACAGGGTTTGCTCAGGGAATTTGAATGACTGGGCTCCCGGGGGGCCCGTTCTGCTCTTATCGCACAGGCAGGGTAACTCACCACACCCAATGTAGAGAAATCGCTTTTGCCAGAACAGCATGTGCACCTTCAGCAGTGCTACGAACCGCTGCTAACTTTACGGCACTGCAACACTGAAACAAGCTATATCAGAGCCCTGCAGCAGCACAGAACTGGTCATGATGACCCAGCAACATGGATATATGTTACAAAGAAAGAGAGAGTGAATGAGGAAACTGCTTGGTTTCACCTTGGATGACCCCTACGATAGCAAAAGTAGCATTACTGCTGCAAATGACCTTTGAAGTGCAAGCATAATCATAACCCAGCTTGCCCTACCCCCACAGTACACAGGCACGCACACAAACACAGCAAATGATCTTCTCCATATCATGCACTCTAGATCTGAGAATAAAAAAGATATATTACCTCGCTGCACAATATTTTCCAAATGACAGATAATAACATTTTATTAATTCTGCTATTTTTTTAAGAGAAGCAGTAATGTTTCCTTGTCAGTTTTATGGTATTTTCATGCTAAGAAACATTCTGACTAAAGAGCAACTGGATTAAATGTTTTGGACTAAAACTTGTCCAACATACGCCATGCTGGTTTGTTTACATTATTCCAAAGCATTTTAAAATGTCAAGTCAGCCAAGTCTAATCTTTCTGTGTAACCCTGTATCCTTAGGACCTGCGTTTTTAACATCACATAATGTTGATGTCAGCTCAATCTGATGGCAACACACTTTTACTACCGAAATACCCTTTGTAATAAGTTGAATTCAGGTGAACAAGGATCATCTCTGAACTCATCACACTGAACTCAAGCCACAGCTGGACATGAACTAATGAGGTGGAAAAGAGACATCTATTATGATTTTTTTTTAAATTGAAGGCGCCAGGGGCTGTCTTCAATCAAATGAGAGAGTGTGATGACTTGATGCATGAAAAGCTGACGCCCCCTGTGTTCTGTCTGGCTGCCTAATCTGTTTCTATGGTTTCTATTAGAATCAGATGAGCGCATATCTGTGAGAGAGAGACGATGTAGTATGGTGTAAGACAGTGCCAGAGTGATAATAAGCGCTCATTATGATCCATCATGTCTGGACATGGCCATCCTTCCCCTATTGATTTCTTCATCTCTATGGTCTTTCTTGTCAGTACGCCACTCCCTCTATCTAATTTCACTTTAACTGTCTGTGCTCTTTGTCTCCAAGGCATCCATTTTCACGACTGTTTAATATGATCTACTTCTCTGGTCTAACCACAGAATTGATACTGTTTTAACCAGCGGTCCTCTTGATCATTCCACCCTCCCCAACTCCATCCACGCTGCTGCGTTTGTACCCTCAATGTGACTGTCTGGCCTGCATTCTCTTCCAGGATCCTTAGCAGCACTCCCTCAGACTCCAAGGTCTTGCAAGCTGGTGCAAGGTCAACCACACTAGAGGAAAGGAATATGGCGAGAGCGCGAGTGAGAGAGGCTGTGTGCTTTCTAATACCCTTTAGGACACGTGGTAGAAACATTACGTGGCTGCAAGAAAAGGAAGCGTGTCTCAATATCAGCACATCCCCATCAGCTCATGGTCATGTGACACCAGCATATGCCTCAACGGCACAAACAGTTTCTGACATGAAAACCGAGCCTGGCCGTCTTTTACTTTCTCTTATCTCTTTTATGAGTCACAAAACAAATCTGTTTTAAACGAGTTGAAGACACTGCTGAAACACCTCTGCTAAAAAGCGCAAACTATGCATAAAACCTGCCAGTGATTTGCAAGGTGGACTGTGATGGATGGCGCTCAGACATGTCATTCTAACACAGAGAGGTGTTTTGCTATTAAAGCATGTCTTAACTGATTGAAAAGTTAGAGCAATCAAAGCAACATTGTTGCTAAACTGGGCTGGTCTTGAAGTTGTCACTGTGACTAACAGCTGGAGAACAAGAAAGAGGGTGTGGTTCATAGTTATGGTTTGACTTCCTGAAAAATGATTTGAGTTGCACATTATTAGTCATTTAGCACACCTTGACACCATAGGTCATAAGTTACTGGAGTCTCTATTCTGCATAATTGCATAAGACAATTTTTTTTGGGTTAACTTGTACAGCATGAGAAACAAATATAATACTAGTTATAACATCTGCTGTGGAAAACTAACTAACAAACTGTAGCTTGTAGCCTGAGCTCCTATTTTCAGCTTTGACCGCAGAGTAAGAGGCGTTCGTCTCTTTTGGTTTGCTGCTGTTCAGTAAAAGGAGTGGTTTCAGCATATTGACAGAGGTGAAGTCAGGTGACCTGAGGCAGGTCATCAGAGTGGAGGACGCTAGAAGAAATGCTACACCCCAGGCCTCGCTGCTGCTACTGCTCCATGTGCTCAGAATATAGCATGTCAATATTGCCCTCACTGACCTTTTAACATACACACTTGCGCATATATGGACACGTGAGCATGTTCTCCTTGATGTCTCTTGATCTTTTTCGTACTGACACGCACATACTGAGGGGCTGAGGGCTGCTACTCTATCCACCACAGCTCTTCTATACCACATACATCCCTGAGTAAACTGGGTTTTTTTTTATCATGGGACATTTCCTGTTGGTGGAGAGATTGCATCCAGGAAGGTCTACATAAAATGAGTTTAAGGGATAGAGCAACAGAATGTTGCATTAAAAATAAACTACATTTATTTATACTTTATGTTTATGTTTGGTTTACTATGAATAGAGGTTATAGATAAAAAGAGCTCACATGAAGTCATGATGTCCTATATAAAATATTTGTTTAACTAGCCTATTTATCAGATTAAATAACGTAGTTCTGAAAGTGACTCTTAAACTAGGAACGCATTACCAACAATGCCTATTGATTCCCCTGAGAGCAAACCTCTGGAGACAATTAGATCTCTTGTTTAGCATACATGGACAGAGCAATGCACACACACACACACACACAAACACACACACACACACACACACACACACACACACACACACACACACACACACACACAAACACACTTACAAGACACACAAATGCAAACCTATACAAAAACACAAACCTCTGTGTCCTGGCACAGAGTATTCTTAAGCTGTGGTGAATATCGGACTGTGTGCAACACTGGATCTTTGTATGTGTATGTGTGTGTAAGGATGTGGTGAAGTCAACAAACAGTGGAAATAATGGTTGGCCTTATGGTTTAATGAGTGGCTCATCGGCTCACATTTATGTTGTCTGTGCTGAGACATAGTCAGGCAGATTTCCACGCATACAGACAGGTGACAAATAAAAGAAAAACCTGAAATGAGAGGAGAAACCCAGCACAAATTGCAAATTGTGATTTATGATTTTGGTCTAGAGTTGCAAAGGCTGAATGGTTTGATAAGAAAAAACATTGACATTAGCAGTCACCAGAATATCTTTGGTCAGAGACATGTAAAATCTATGTCATGTTGCATTGATGTCGTTTTGGCTTTTATTTGCACCCATCTGTATATTTACAGGTACCTCTTAACCTATTGTGTTATCCCTAGGACAGAAAAGCATCAAGTATGCAAAAACGACAAGGCATACACTGCATATTTAGTTTCTTTACCAGTATATTACATGCAAACATACTTCGCCAGTGACCAGTTTAGTCAATCATTTTCATGGAGGATGGGCTTTGTGTTAAAGGCCTGTACTGATATACTGAGGCAAACGGACCTAGCGCAGTCGCAATGACAGAAACAAAGGCTGGGTAGTGAGGTAGCTAGAAAAGAGGCTGTGAGTGAGAGAACGAGACCATTGGGGCAGCAGTATGTTATTAAATGTTATAGCCATCTGTCTCTGCTTCAGAGATGGGAGAGACGTTTAAGATGACAAGGCTGTAAGCGGGAGCTGATGCAACTGGGGTGAAGAAAAACAAGGACAGGCTCATGTTGACACGTGTACCTCTGGACAGAACAACAAAGAAATAACAAGACACTTATTACTTACTGCACGAACAGCAGCTATGACATGCTTCTCGCCCTGCTTATTAGCACTGTGGTGTAGCTCAGATATAGGTAGACAATGGCTTTGTTTCCTCTATACTGCAATATATGATAAACAATTATTACTGGCTACTTGGAAAGAATAGAAGTAGGTTGATATTTGGGGGCTTTAAAGACTCAATAGTGTCTCTGACAGTGGTTGAAGTCAATTCATTTTCGCTTAGCTTGGAATTTTGTTAAGAAGAAGGTGTCTTACTCAGCCAAAGCTGTGTCAAACTGATGCTCAGAAGGGTTGAAATGTGGTCATAACACAGTAGGAACATACAGAGAAGCCCTCCTGTAATAAAGGCTTAACCTGTCAGCACAGATTTAGCCATGCACATAATCCTGTCTGTAGGGCAGATCATAGGCAACACACATTAATGCAGAGCAATTTACACCTGAGTTCACACATATATACAACAATACACAGACAGAACAACATTATTTTTTACATTATTAGCCACAATATATATAACACTGACAACATCACCACATTCCTCAGTCTTTTGCTGAATAGAAATTGACAGTCTACCTGCAGCAGAGCTGCCATGGGGATTTTACAAAGTCTCAACAATGCAATCTGCCACACATCTGGTTGTGCTGCGCATGCTTGCATGTGTGTACATACTTGTGTGTGTGTGTGCTACTGTCTGAGCCACCCTGAATCCCTCTAAGTCACAACAACAACATTCCTCATCATCGCCCCAACCACGGACACACCACTAAGAGGAAACCCAGAGAGGCGAGGGTGGGCAGAGGTGGTGAGGAGAGGGACAAAGAGGGGAGACGAGGGAAGGAAGGCAAGAGTTCTGAAGATCCTCTGGCTTTCACATACCATATGTATTTCACTAGAATCATATCCTGCTGTTATTCCGTTTTTGAATGGAATTAACGCCTGCGTAAAACTTTGTTTTAAAATTTAAATTATTGTATTTGAATCGGACAAATAGCCAGATATGATCGCACGTAAGAAAATACTTTCAGTTCACAACCTTAACTCCTGAAAGTAAGTAAAAACATTACAGGACAATCTCGCGCTATCTCCCAAAGCCTTGATAAAGTGCAAAAGTACTTACTTTCACTCCAGCTTAAACATCGACAAGTTAAATCCCTCCATTTACTAGGTCTCCCTGTCTCGTTCTTGCCCCTCTTTCCTTCTCTTCAACTTTCTTCCTCTCTCTCAGTTACTCCCCCTCTGTCAGACGCATGAAAACACTCACTTAGTCCACACACACACACACACACACACACACACACACAAACGCACACACTCCCACAGACAGAGTCACCCTCTCACACACTCTCTCCTCCCGCGACCCGGAATGCTTGGCAAGATCCAACTGTACTGAAATACTGTGCTCACCATATAAGGTAGCAGCAGCTTCACATGTCACGTAATTTACATGCGGTGGGGCGGGAGTTTGCCTTACACAGCACACACACGCGTAGAAACACATACACACATGCATAACCATGCTTCCCCCTTTAGGCTGACGCAGCAAGGGAGGGAAGAGGTAAAAGAGAATCAAATTTTACCATTCTCCTTGTTAACCAAGCCCTGCAGGATAACTCCCAACATGTCCAATGTTGAGTCAGACGGAGGGAATGAAAGCTGAGTGGGCGATCTATTGATCCTCTCCACTGCTTCCTGGAACAACCACGGCCCTCCAAACACACACACACATGCGCGCACACACACCAGCAAATTTTCTTGCTAACTAGCGCTACCCTCAGGAAGTAGCTATTGTGTGACTGTCTGCTTTGAGCCAAGAATGTGTCTTTTTGTGTGTGTGTGTGTGTGTGTGTGTGTGCCTATATCTATAAAACAAGCCGTAACAAATAGATGTTAACCCTGTGGACCACACACACACACACACACACAAACACACACACAGACAGCAGACACTAAGGCAAACAATCCCCATATCTCTACCTATGCTCTAATGCTCAGGCACTTACTTTGGAAAGTAAAGACTGCAGCACACAGGAGGAAAGATCTAGATAAACCAATGAGACAAGGAGGAGGGCTATTAACCAAGCTCTTACCTCTCACATTGCTCTCCGGTTTGTGTGTGTGTTTGTGTGTGTGCGTGCTTCCGCCTGTCGATTGACTCTGTGTTTATGCGTGTGTTCAGACAGGCCGCGACAGCAGACCCCCAGGCACCGGCTGGACCATTCTCAGGCAGGCAGGCAGAGCGCAGCAAGGCAGAGCGACTGGCAGAAGAGAGGCAAGCGAGTGAGCGAGTGAATCAGCAGCGAATGAGTGGAGGAGCTGTGCGGAGCTGAGCACCG